AAAGATTCAGCTTTAGGAACATGTTTCTAAAAAAGCTAAAGATGGCTTGGAGATTTAGCAGCTGATCAAATCTTGCCTTCTAAGTTAAGTGCAGATTTGCTTTAGTTTGTTTCTCATTTTTTAATGTGAGGACAAAGTTGTCTCCCTTGTTATGTGATTCAATGACACATAGGAGGTAACTTCTCATGGAAGGCAAGGCTGGCTAGAAACTGGTCAGATATCACATCCTCATACACACATTAGACTATCCTAATGAAGTTTTGCTGGATTTGCTGAAATAGTGTTGTCAAACATAACTTTGATTGTTGTACAGGACTGAGTGTGTTTTAAGTACTTCAATTAGTCTCTGTATATACTCTTGCACTGCTTTGTGATATTTGTCTTTCTTGGAAATTAGGGTGTGTTTTTGATGGTATTTATAGAAATCTCTGTTTTTCTCTAAGGTAAGTACAAGTGTAGAAGTGCTGCACCATATTTCTATGTAATTCTATATTAATTTCTTTTTAGGACTCTGTCCCATCTTTAATACTTTTACATACCTGAGAGAAATGAAGCAAGGTTCACATTGTTGTCACATCTCTCCTAGCTTTTGTTGAAATTTGGAAGGATTTTTGTTGTTCTGTTTAAAACTATGGGCATACTAACATGTGTAAAATAGTTATTTTATTGTACTTTTGATTTGAATTTTACTCATGACTATTGATACTACTTTTATATTTTAATCAGCTATTTGTGTATGTCCTTTTTAGAAAAGTCTCTTGAATCTTTTTCTTATTTTAAAATTAAATTTTGTTGTATGGGGGTTACTTGTAGGATTTTCTTTATATTTTCTAATTCACATTTGTTAGGAATCTATTTAAAGACATATCCAAATATTTTCTCCTACCATGCTTTTGCTTCTTCGCTGATAGTGCTTTTCATTATACAAGGTTTGGATTATGTGCACTTAATCTTGTTTGGCTTTGTATTTATTTTTTAATTTTTACTTATTATTTATTTTCTTGGTTTTGTTTTGTTTTGTTTTTGTGGTCTGTTGTTGGGCGTGATCGCTGTGCCTGGGCACTATCCGTCAGCTATTCAGCTCAAGGCTCGCATCCTACCACTTAAGCCACAGCACCCACTTCTGACTTTTCCTGCTTATGTGGTGCTGAGTAATGGAACCCAGGGCCTCATGCATGCAAGTCGAGTACTCTACCACTCAGCCACCTTGCCAGCCCTTATTCACTAATTTATTTATTGTGGGTCATGGGGCTTGAAGTCTGGATCTGAGCTTGTGCCTCAGCCCATCAGTTCAAGCCTAGCAATCTACCACTTGGGCCACTGCACCACTTTTGGTTTTCTGATGCTTCATTGGATATAAGAGTTTCACAGGTTTTCTTGCTCAGGCTGGCTTTGAACCATGATCCTCAGATCTGACTCTCCTGAGTAGTTAGGTTTACTGGAGTGATCCACCAGAGCCTGGCTTTTGTTTGTTTGTTTGTTTGTTTTTTGCATGAGTCACTTTTGGTGTCCGATTTAAGGATTTACTGTCAAATCTAATGCCATAAGGCTTTCTTCCTTTCCTGTCTTCTTCTCCTCCTTTCCCTCTTTTTCCCTTCTCTCCACTACTCTGTTGTCTCCTCTTCTTCCTTCTTTTCCCTGACCTTTGGATTCCCTTCTCTCGCTCCTCCATATATTTTCTTTTCTCTTTATGTCTGACATGAAGACTTGCTAGTATCACTACAATTAGGTTTCTAAATTAGAAACACATACCTCAGACTCCACCATGGCTTTTTTTAGCTACTATTGGAGCTTGAACTCCAGGTCTCACAGACAGTCAGCTTCCTCACTCACTGTTGGCACTATCACTTGAGCCTTTCCTCTAACCTGTTCATTAGCTGCTTAAATTGAGTTGTCTATCTAGGCTGGCTTCCAGACCTCAGTTTCCTCCTTAGTAGCTAGGCTAAAATGACAGTCTTGAGCCAGAAGAGCTTGTCTTATTTTTCCTTAACTAAACATGTAATATCAACACTTAATTGGATACTGAAATGAAAGGATTATTGTTACTGGTTTTTGTAGAATTAATATTCAACCTAAACTGAAATAGTTTATCTTTCAAATTAAGTGTGGTATTATATTTCTAATAATTGTAACTGTTCTTCTAACTGTGGTAGATTTTCATCAGCAAGCAAATCGTTTATGCTAGAAGTATTGTTTTACTATTAATGTAATTTAATGTTATTATGGAGATGATGCATACAGAGATTAATAAATACTTTTCTTTCCTTACAGTGTCTTCCATTCTTTCACTCTCTCCCAATCCCTCCCTCCTGTCTCTACTCTTGAGTTGTATACTATATTCTCATCACCCTATTTCCTGCAAAATCTATGGCTCTGCGATATCCTCCAGAAGATATTCATGTGAATACACCATACAGAATTGAAAGCACTTGTTATTATTCCACAACCTAAGTAAGAGAGAACCTCCCTTTAATATTCTATACATCATAGTAATAGCATACATTTGATACAGATCCAATCTAGTTTCCATCTGTTTTACTGATAGGTTATTAGCTACATATTATAGAATTATATTGTGTTTATAATATAGATTTATTTCTCATGCTGATTTCTAGACAATTTTTCTTCAGGTCTATTCTCAGTGTGTCTGTCTTGGTAAATATAACAGCATAGTGCTTTATGAACAGCATTTAGGTAAAGATAATGACTTCCAGATGTGTGTTTCTGGTGACTGTTTGTCTGGCTGTTTAGTCATTAAGAGGAGTATTAGATGCTGGGTGCCAGAGGCTCACGCCTGTAATCCTCACTACTCAGGAGACTGAGATATGAGGATCATAGTTCAAAGCCAGCATAAGTAAGAAAGTCCATGAGACTCTTATCTCCAATAAAACACTAGAAAACTGGAAGTGGTGCTGTGGCTTGAGCAGCAGAGCACTCGCCTTGAGATCAAGAGCTGAGGGATAGAAACCAAGCCCTGAGTTCAAGCCACACACAAAAAAGTGGAGTACTAGTTCTCCAGCTGTAATGATAGATTAAAGAAATTATCATTCTTTGGCGTTTTAACCATGTCTTTGTAGACTTTACTTTTCAGACTAAAATTTTCATTATACAGATTTGTGATATACCAGCTATTTTCAATGCTCTGTATCTGTGGTAACACAATTTGTGCTGACGTTTATTTCCTCTCATATTATGAGTATTTGTATTCTTCATTATTGATTTTTGCTTAGGGTATCCTTGTATTGATTTATTTTGATTTCTTTCTTTCTTTCTTTCTTTCTTTTTGTGTTCAGTCGTAGGGCCTGAACTCTGGGCCTGGGTGCTGTCCCTCAGCTCTTCAGATCAAGGCTAGTGCTCTACCACTTGAGCCACAGTGCTACTGCTGGCTTTTTTCTTTTTGCTTGTGTGGTGCTGAGGAATCGAACCCAGGGCCTCAGGCATGCAAGGCAAGTGCTCTACCATTGAGCCACCTTCCCAGCCCCTTATTTTGATTTCTTGATAATTAATGTATATCTCTTTGGATGACTTATTGAGTTTTTTGAGTATATTTTCTTCAGTTTGAAATAGACTGTATCTGATATATTTACTAATTTTATATTACAATATAAATATGGTTTCATTGTAGTAATTACTTTGTTATTTATTATGTTTGTCTCAGCTGATACTTCTTTCTTAGTTTGCTTTCATGTAACCTGCACACAGCCTTCTATACAGTGCATATCACCTGTTATACAATCTCCAGGCAATCTTCTATACACTGTAAATCACCTCTGATGCCTATTACAATTTAAATCCTACTAACTAGTTGCTATACTGCACTGTTATTAGGATAATGCCAGTTTTTTGCAATATTGCATGTTTATTATAGAAGTACTTTGGTTCTATGATTTGATGAATCTGTGAAACAAATATGTAAGGCCTAATACACTCCTATGAAAATGCTAGTACAGGGGCGGGGAAGGTGGCTCAGACGTAGAGTGCTTGCCTTTCATGCATAAGAACCTGGGTTAGGTTCCTCAGCACCACATAAACAGAACAAGCTGGAAGTGTTGCTGTGGCTCAATTGGTAGAGCACTAGCCTTGAACTGAAGAACTGAGGGACAGAGCCCAGGCCCAGTGATCAAGCCCCATGACTGATAAAATGAAAAAAAAAAAAAAAAAACGATTTTATGCAGTAGCTGTAACCTAATCTGGTAGTTTGAATGTTTCTTTAATAAAGAAGTAACCACAAATTTTATGTACAGAATAAAGACCACCCTTAAGCTGAAGCACAGAACTTCAAAAGATGTAAAACATGTACCATAATAGTTGCTATACTATAGAACTGCAAGAAAGTATATTTCCCAAACAGTCTGATTTTTCTTATGGCAGACATAAGAAGTTAAGTTGCTGGAGCTACTCCATTGTATTATTACTAGGTACTCTAAGAGTTTACAATATTCTCACAATACTAGCCTATGACATCCTATAATATAGTTACTTTTCAATGGAATAATTCCATTAAAATCTGAATCAAGGGGCTGGGAAGGTGGCTCAGTGGTAGTGTGCTTGCCTTGGATGCCTGAGGCCCTGGGTTCGATTCCTCAGCACCATATAAGCAAAAAGAAAAAAGCCAGAAGTGGCGCTGTGGCTCAAGTGGTAGAGCACTAGCCTTGAGTTGAAGAGCTGAGGGACAGTGCCCAGACCTAGAGTTCAGGCCCCACAACCGGATCCCCCCCCCCAAAAAAAAAGAAAGAAAGAAAAAGAAAATCTGAATCAATTACACTTTTTAATTTTTTGGTGGTATTCTTTGAACACAGGTCCTCATATTTGTCAGGCAAGTACAGCATTAATTGATCCATATTACTAATCCTTATACTTTGGTTTGATTACACTTATGTATTTATATATTGAATCTTCATGCTTTAAGAATCATGAATATGGTGCTATAAGTTTTTCCTTCACTAATCATTTTAGACAGATTACAAAAATATATGTTCTATACATTCCTTTGTACTTACCTACACAGTTACAATTTTCATGTGTAGTTTCATGTTGACATCTTTCTCATTGTCTCGAAGCAGGATAATTTCTTGTAACTCTCTGCAGATGGAGATGTTTTATTAATTAATTACCTTTCCTGAAAATACCCATAATCTGCATTTTTAGAATAGTGAATTGACTAAATTCTACCTTGAATATAAAAAGAAGGAAAAACTTAAACAGATAAATATTATTTTCCATTGTAAAATATCAGTATTACATTCTTAATAACTTACAGGGAAAGGCATATAGTTCTCATAAATCAATTCCTACTTTGATATTTTAAAATCTCTAACATTACATTGGGAGATAATGTCTTACCTTTACATTACAGAGTCATTGGATATCAATTATGTTTTTGTATTTTTTTCTATGACCCATTTTAGAGGTCCAAACTATAGATGCTGTGACTAAGTCTTGCCAGGATGAATCTCTGTGTGAAGTAGCAGTCAGAAATACTGATACAGTGGAGGAAAGAATGTGACTAGGAACAAATTTAATTTTGAGCTAAAAAAATAAGCAGAACTGAATAGGACTAATGGAAATCCTGAAGGATGAGGACTGAGGATTTCACTGAACCTTATGAGATGAATGCCCTGGGTGTCTGCTGTAGTTGAAGAACCCCATAGATATTCTGAGAATTTCATTAAAAAATTATGAGAGTCCAAATGAGCTGCAGCATTTGAATATGGTAGAGAAGGGAAGGTAGTACAATCAGAGACCATATTCTTTACAGTGTTGGAGGACACTCCAGTAACCATAACAAATATACAGAAGAGTATAATAATTCTGCTGTCCTTGCCCAAGAAATATTTCAGGGAGGGAGGAAAACACCTGAATGTACTATATGTGCAAAATCATTCCACTTAAGGCCTACAGTCAGTTCACATAAAAAAATGTACACAGGAGAGAATCCTTATACTTGTACTGGATGTACAAAAGGAAATACACCTAACAGAACCTCAGAGCAAGGATCCACAGGAGAAGCTTGATGAGCATAGTGTCCACAATCTATGTCTGAGAAAACAGAAGTGACTTTCCCACCACAAGCACCCACAGTAGAGAAACCCTATAAATATGAGGAATGTAGGAAAATTTCCATGTAGAAGTCAGTTCTTAGCAGGCATCAGAGAATTCACACAGAAGAGAAGCCTTATGAATGCAAGAAATGTAGAAAGTTTTTCAGACAGAAGTCACACCTCACTTTGCATCAGAGAGCACACAGGAGAGAAATTTTATGAATGTAACAAGTATGGAAAGTCTTTCAACCATTAAGTCCAACCTTCATGTTCATCAGAGAACATACATAGGAGTATCAGGAATGTAAAAAGGCTTTTAACTGGAATTCACATCTTCCTTTTCTTTAGAGAACACATAGAGGAGAGAAACCTTATGAATGCCACAAAAGTGTAAAATCCTTCAAGCAGAGGTCACAGGTTTGCAGCCATAATAGAATTCACACAGGTGAGTAACCTTAGGAATGTAACAAATTTTGAAATTCCTTCTTCTGGAATTCAGATTTCAACAGACATAAGAGAGTTCACACAGGAGAGAAACCTTATGAATTTAACAAATATGGAAGCCCCTTTAGACTGAAATGAGAGCTTACTTTGCATCAGAGAACAAACACAGTTGAGAAACCTTATGAATGTAAGAAATGGGTAAGTCCTTCACCCTGAATTAACACCTCCACTCACCTATGAGTTTTCACACACCTGAGAAACCTTAGGAATGTAACAAATGTGAGAAGTCTCACCTGGAAGATAACTCATTTTGCATCAGACAAACCAAACAAGATAGAAACCTTATGAATGTAGCAAATGTCAAGTCTTTCACCCAGGAGGCACAGCTCAAGGTTCTTCAATGAACATACACAAGCGAGACATCTTCTCAATGAAACAAATGTGGAAAAATTTCAAGAAGTCATACCTCAGATTGCATCAGAAAACACACACAGGAGAGAAAACTTCTTTCACCAAGAAGGCATGGCTCAGAGTTCATAGAAAACACAAAGAAGAGAAACCTTGCAAAGGGGTGGGGGGAGGCTGGGAAGGGATGTGAAGGGTAAACAAAGGAGGAGGCTGCAATGCTTGATAAGAAATATACGCATTATCCTGCCCATGTAATTGTAACCCCTCTGTACAGTATATTCACAACAAAAAAATAAAATATATAAAAAAAACAAAACAAACCAAAAAAAAAAAGAAACCTTGCAAAGATTACAAATGTAGAAAGTCTTTCTCCTGGAAGTTGTACCTCAGTGTTCAGAGAACTGACTCAGATAGGAAAAAGGAAAACTAAAGTATATAACAAATGTGCAATGACTTTTGTTTCTTTGGCTGACCTCAGAGCCTAGTTACTGTTTCTGAGCTCTTTCCTCAAGGTTACTGCTCTAAACCCTTTAAGTCATAGTGCCACTTCTGGCTTTCACTGTTCATTTCATTCTGAGGAATCAAACCCAGGGCTTCATTCATGGTAGGCAAGCACTCTACCACTAGGCCTAATTCCTGTCCCTGCAATGACTTTTAAACCGGAGTCAGTCCTCAATGTATCTGAGAACATAAACAGGAGAGAATATCTGAGTATAATAAATGTAGACAAGGGCTGGGAAGGTGGCTCAGGGGTGGAGCACTTGCCTTGCATGCCTGAGGCCCTGGGTTCGATTCCTCAGCACCACATAAGCAAAAAGAAAAAAGCTGGAAGTGGCACTGTGGCTCAAGTGGTAGAGTGCTAGCCTTGAGCTGAAGAGCTGAGGGACAGTGCCCAGGCTCAGAGTTCAGGCCTCACAACTGGCTAAAAAAATAATTAAATAAAATAAAATACACAGATTGGCAGGGCACGGTGGCTTATCCTCCTTGCTATTCAGGAGGCTGACGTCTGAGGATATAGGTTCAAGGCCAGCCCAGGCAGGAAAGTCCATGAGACTCTTTTCTCCAATAAACCACCAGAAAACAGAAAGTAGCACTGTCACTCAAGTGGTAGAGCACTCACCTTGACCTGAAGAGCTGAGGGACAACAGCCAGGCCCAGAATTCAAGCCCCGAGACCAATAAAAAATTACAGTTTCCATAATGCATGCAAACACATTTCTGCTGCTAGCAACAGAGACAAGATAAAAACTCTAAGGAGACAGTAATCTGGTATGACAACAATAAGTCTAAGGAAGTGTCTGAAAAATTATATTATCATTTTTTGATAAAATTTTAGTACATATCAGTGTAACAATGAATTAAACAAATATTTTTTCTGCATTTACATATACTGCTTCACCATAAACCCTATTTAGACTTTCTATTAACACGTACTCTCAAAAGTAAGCAGAACATATTCAGGATATCACATGGAATACAGAACATAGAATATTACTAGATCTATGAGAAGCAGTGTCCACATGAATATTAAAAAATACTAATAGTACTACAGAAAGTAGCTAATGATTTATTTGGCCCATATAAGATTTGATTGAGAGGCTGGGAAGGTGACTCAGTAGTAGAGCGCTTGCCTTGCATGCATGAGGCCCTGGGTTCGATGCCTCAGCACCACATAAGCAAAAAAAAAAGCTGGAAATGGCACTGTGGCTGAAGTGGAAGAGCACTAGCCTTGAGCTGAAGAGCTGAGGGACAGCGCTCAGGCTCAGAGTTCAGGCCCCACGACCGGACCTCCTCTTCCGCCCCCCCCCCCCAAAAAGATTTGATTGAGCTCACACATAAAAATATCCTAGGTTATAGGTCTCCTTGGCTCAGGCCAAAATTTTCTGAATAGAGACCCGGAAACACAACAAATCAAAGAAAGGTTGGACAAATGGGATTGCATAAAGTTGCAGAGCTTCTGCAGGGCAAATGACATAGCTAGCAAGATCAATAGAAAGCCCACGGAGTGGGAGAAGATCTTTACTAGCCATACAATGGACAAGGGTCTCATATCTAAAATATACTTGGAACTCAAAAAATTAAACCACCCAACAACAAATCCTCAAAGAAACAACTGCCCAATAAATAAGTGGGCGAAAGACTTAAAGAGAAACTTCTCTGAAGAAGAAAGAAGGAAGGCCAATAGACACATGAAGAAATGTTCAACATCCCTAGCCATAAAAGAAATGCAAATCAAAACAACATTGAGATATCACCTCACTCCAGTTAGAACGGCAAAAATCAAGAACTCTAACAACAACAGATGCTGGAGGGGATGTGGACAGAAAGGAACCTTACTTCATTGTTGGTGGGAATGTAAACTTGTTCAACCACTTTGGAAAGCAGTATGGAGGTTCCTCAAAAGACGTCACATAGAACTCCCCTATGACCCAGCAATCCCACTTTTGGGCATTTACCCAAACGTTTACAAACAAGACCATACTAAAGCTACCAGCACAACTATGTTTATAGCAGCATTATTTACCATAGCTAAGATATGGAACCAACCCAGATGCCCCTCAGTAGATGAATGGATCAAGAAAATGTGGTATATATACACAATGGAATTCTATGCCTCCATCAGAAAGAATGACATTGCCCCATTTGTTAGGAAATGGAAAGGCTTGGAAAAAATTATATTAAGTGAAGTAAGCCAGGCCCACAGAAACATAGGTCCCATGGTTCCCTTATTTGCAATATCTAGTATATGTATGAATCAAGCGGAAAAGGTCAGATAATGTGATGTTAGGAAAACGAACCCTTAAATATGTATTTTAATGTTTTTTTTCTTTCATGCATGTGTTCCTAACACATTTATAAGATTATTTCTTTGTTGCTTTGTATGTCCCTCCCCCACAGTGTAACCCCCGCTTACACTATATTTGATGTCAGTATAACTTGTGGAGGAGATGGGGACAAACAAGTCATTTAAGGATTCAGGTGGACCTGTTGCAACAATGAGAAGTACAAAATGTCATGTCATAAACGAGCTTTACAATGTCGGTGTGGGTGGGGAGGGTAGGAAAGACTGGGGGGGGAGGAAGGAGGCTGGGAAGGGAGGTGAAGGATAAACAAAGGAGGAGGCTGCAATGCTTGGAAAGAAATGTATGCATTATCCTGCCCATGTAATTGTAACCCCTCTGTACAGTATGTTCTCAAATAAAATAAAATTGAATTAAAAAAAATATCCTAGGTTAATGATGTTTGGTTTAAATACTAAATATTGAAATGTCATAGAAACCCTGATATTTCCTTCCTATGTAAAAAAGAACTGCTACCATGAAGTTTTGTAAACTTTGCCTACATTCTACAATACAAAATATAGGTGGGAGGGGAATAAAATATTCCTTTACAAGATTTTCATTTTAATAGACTTCATGGAAGGTGGAGGAAAATGTATAGAAGCTCAAGGAACACTCAATATAACAAAAATGATAAATATGACCAAATGCTCAAATGTGGCACATATTCCTGAGTCATTTCTCCAGGAGATTCCTAAGGATATATTTCCACTTGTGTTAGTTAATAGTGAAATTCCTCAGAGATCAAAATCAATTCCTGAGCAAACATCTGTGAGATTTTGCAACAAGTGATATTTCTAATAGCAAACACCTTGTAACTGTATTTTTTTTAAATCAAAACCAGTTCCAATCAAATACTGGCAGTGAATTAAAATATTCAAAAGTAGTGGGAAGGAAAAACTAAACAGAATACCACATCAAATGAAGTTAGACCAAAGATAACAGAATCAGGAGAAAACTGATTTTCTTGTAGTCTATCAATTGGGGGAAGGAAATACTTTTCTGTAGGGAACCCTGAAGTAGAGCTGAAGGGGGAAAAGGTTTGAGAAGTTGGAATTCCAGCCTGACCGCAATGAGAGCACTGAGAGCTGGCCGCAGAAGGGTTAAAAGAGAATTCTGGAGACGGTTAAGAGACTGGAGTGCAGGCCTTTTCCTTGCTGTTGGAAAGATGGCATCTGAAACTGAGGTGCTGTTGACCTTGAAGGCTAGGTAAGGTGAACTCCATGTCTGCATTTTCTCTGGGTGCCAGTCTTCTCTCTCAGGAGAATAAGGAAATACGTTTTCCTCACAACCACTTGTGGCTCTGATTGTACTATTAATATAGATACTTCATTTTTGCATGTTATCAATGGTAATCTTCACTGTGTGAAGTCAAGGTACTATGCTTGCTAGCTGGCATCCACGGACCAAGTGCCAGAGAGCATTTGGAACCTTGGTTTTCCTAAGTCTATCTGTTTATGTTTTTGTGATTTTCTAAATTTCTTTGTTTCTGGAATCCTGTAGAACTCTCTAGGCAACAATTTTCCTATACAATGGGTAAGAAAAATGTCAATCCTAAGAGCCATGTCAGCAAAGTAAAACTGATCACTAAGAAAAAGTAGTTCCCAGATAGATCATTTGAAGAAAAGAAACTACTGAGACACATATGGAGGAAAGAGGGAATGAGAAAAGTAAGAAAAAATGCTAGAAAGATAGATAGAAAGAGAGAGAAAAATAGAAAAATAACCTACACTAGTGAGTAGAAAATCAAAAATACAGAGAGAAAATAGAGGAAAGAAATTTTGTGAGGATACTTTAGAAAACAAACAGGAATTTGTAGAAAGACCATAAAGTTTAGTAACAAATATATCCTAAGTTTCAAGTAAGACCAAGACCATGAAATCGTCCAAGAACTATATATGAGAGTAATTTAAGTACATATAGGTTAATCATTCCTTAAGAACACATGAATGTGTGCGTGTCCACAACACTATTTCAGCAATTCCAGGAAAATTTCATTGAGATAGTTTAATGCTACTCATGAGGATGTGATCTGTTTACATCTATCCTTCATCTTCTATGAGAAGTAACCTGCTCCGTGTCATTACATCACATAACAAATTTGATTACATTTTATGACAAGACAAAACCTAGATATTCTGAAGCCAATCTGCATTCAACTTAGAAAGAATATAACCATGTAACCTGCTAAACCTACAAGAATCTTAATCTGCTAATCTATAAGCCATCATTATCTGATTTATGAATATGTTCCTGGGGCTGAATCTGTGTGGTTGATATTGTTTTAAATTCTTGAACATCTTTAGGTTCATATAATGGAATAAAACCAAATGAGAAATAAAAAAAAAACTCACCAGAGATCAATTCATTCTGTCTTGCTGGTGACAATGAGCAGAAGATTCTGGAAGCATGGCTGGGATATAAGACAAATGACGTATTCAGGAATGAATCTGTGAGATTTGGGGCCCAGAATTACCTCTTGCAACTTAATACATGGGCTGGAAAACCATAAAGCCTTCCTATAAGAGAAGAATCTTTAATGTCTCAGGCAGAGGATTAAAGTCTCCAATAAATACAAATCCAGTCCATTTCCTGGTAGATAGATATTATTAAACCAACTAATTTCTATGTTTATGTACATACTACATTTGTAAAACTGAATGTTCCTACAAAAAATATTGAATAACTGAAAGCAAAAACAGAACACATTTCCACTAAAAGTAGTTATTACTGAATATACATCAGGATGTATGAACTGCTTTTTTTAATGCAAAGGTATCCTAGGATTCCATTGGAATTTGTTTTCTACCTCATTCATTTACATATTTAAACACCAAGGTAAGCATGTATGATGTTATTCAGTAGTTTTCACCCAAAGTTATAGAGGAAAATATGTACAGAATATATTTCTTGTGTTATACTATTTCAATAATGGTTGTCAAATGGCACATTTCACTGTACCCATTGCACACATATAAAATGACTTGCAATTTGCCATTTAACGTGCTTTGGCCAAAGGAACATGAGTAAAGATGAGGTAAACCCAGGTTTGATCAGTCCCTAATGTTCATTTCCCTAAACAGTCATGGGAAGATCCTTGGCCATCCTAAAGATACAACATAAAATACTCCATATAGGAGTGACACACCTGAAGACAAGCAACACCTACAAAGCATACAACATTGAGTAACACATATTACCTCAAGTTTTCTTCTGTGATTTTTCTTTTAAGGCCATATGTCCCTGACCAACACTTTCTGCACTACCAGGCAAAAACAACACATTAGAGCTAGCATTAGCAAATTCATAGATGGGACATTTAAGATAAGTTTCAATGATTACATACTAAAAGTCTTAGTGGAAACAGGCTGCATAAATTAGCAAGAAGATTAGGGATTAGTACATAAATAAATACTTTCAGTCAAAATAACTGCCCCACCATCCCAAACCACTGCCTCAGGTACCCTGTGATAACTACGCTCTGGTTTATTCCTCAATCCAGCACATCACAACTCCCAGAAATTAGTTTAAATGTTGCAACAGCAAAAAGTGATTGAGAGTGGTGTAGGAAAGAGTACCACCTGAATCTGGTGCTCAGGGAAGTGGCAACAATTTTTGCATAAGGCAAAGGAAGCTAGCAACATCTTCCCCTTCCTGTGCTTTTCTGCTTGTGCTCTATATGGCTTCCCAGAACTGACAAGGTCTGTTCATTTAGGATGGAGATTCCTACTCATAGGGTGCTCTGCTTCAAACATTGCTAGGCTTCATTGCTAAATATAGAGGCCCAGTACTCACGACTCCAATATCCCATGTAAAACTGTCTCTAGAAACAGGATCCTGTACAAACGCTTGGGAACTCAAGCCAGGAAAATAAAAAATCAAGCCAAATAGATTAAAACATCTCTAAGAGAAACAACACAGAAGCCAAAAATACAACTGCAGTGTAAGAGGACTCAGGCAGGCACACACCTCACAATTTCACTAGAATCCTTCCTGTACTCCTCTTACACCTGGGCAAAGCAAATAAAGTCACATGAGTTAATAGAAGAATCCCTTGGTCTTGGAGTCCAAATGCACAACTCTTGGGCTCTCCTAGTCTGGACAATCACCCAGCTTGCTCTCAGACATTTGGGAATCAGGTTCCTGCATCTGAAGGCCCAGAGGCTAATGGCAGCACAAACTCCTGAACCTCAAGCAAATTATCAACCCCAGACTGGAGAAAAGCGTGGAGAGGGAAGTAGGCGCTTTGGCTCAAGTATAAAGTTCTCCCTCTGAGCTGAGGAGCTCAGAAATGCTGCTTGCAAGCCCAGAGTTCACGCCCCACCAAACAAACAGAAACAGAAAAAGAAACAGAAACCCGTGGAGGGGAGACTCCTCAGCAATCGCACAGTTCCTACCTGACATCAGTTCCAAAGCCTGAGATTCCTTCTAGTTACAGCTCCCAAGCTCCACTGCACAGAGCTGGGCACCAGACTCCTGGCTCCCACCTACGGAAGGCCAAACCTTACTTCAGGGCACTTCCAGCAGCAAGGCAAAGGAAAAGAACACGGAAGAGGGAGACTTAAAACGCCCTTGGTGGGCGGGGAGACGCTTGCGCAAAGCATCTTCTGCCCCACCTCCACCCTCCAAAAAACAAAAACAACCCAGGACTTTCAAAGAAAATATCCTCCATGGAGACTACAATTCCCACAATGCTCGGTGCCACCCGGCTGCAAACCAGGGAACAAGTGTGCTCTTGTGCATTGGGACTTTTCTCTCCCTGCTGTGGGAGTTAAGCTCAGTTTCTTCTTGAAAACCACTGTTTCCTCTTGAAATACATAAGACCAACCAGAAAAGGGATATATATGGGGAGAATTGGATACATTGGCTTTTTGATTCTTAGTTCTAAAAATGAAATTGAGGTTATGAGACTGCGTTGCTTATACCTTTCTGTTTATTCAATGCCTGCCTTCTGCTGAATGTAAATTATATATCTGTTTTGTCTTAATTTTTTAATACATTCCCTCTTACTTTACAAAGGTACTCGCAGCCACTAAACTTATACCTGGGTCATTTGCCATTGCTGTAATGTATACACTGGCATAAAATAGTGAGATTGTTAGGTAAATATGTGGCATAATACTTCTGGTGATTTGGATTTCACAAAATCTAACAATTAATTTTCCAGAAACTCCCCAATTGTATCTATAATTTAAATGAGTTTTTGTTTTTTTCTGAATTTTGCATTTCATTTAAGGATTTTATGTTTTGTTTTGTTGTTGGTCCTATGGCTTGAACTCAGAGCTTGGGCACTCTCTGTGAGCATTTGCTGTGCTCTATTTGCATTTCCTTTAATGCTTTCTTCAGGTAACTAGTGAAAAGTTCCCACACAGGGATTCTTATGAACAAGGCACATCACCTCCATTTCCCTTCAAAGATATAGTGGTTAGGGGGGGTCAGGGATGAATGCAGGAGAGATAGAAGAGTGAAGTTTAGGCTAGGCTATGTTGATGTGAAACTTAAACACTTGCAAACCAGTCTGCTTTTGTCTTTTCATTTTGCATGTGAAAATCTCTTTAGAATTCTTACCTCTTCTCTGATCCTAACAGTTCCTCTCAGTAGCTTTAGGCTACATATCTAAGGGACCTCAGACTTGTCTTCTCAGACCTTATCCATTAAAGTATGCAATAAATCTTTGTCTCATGCCACAATACCATCAGAGCACAAGCAAGGCTCTGAGAGCCAATGGATGATAATTAAGGAGACAGAGAGATGGCTGATGGCACAATTCTGCTATATTTCTCAAATGCTTGTGTAATATTGGCCTAGACCCACTGTGCCCAAAAGTGCAAACAGTACACATCTTTCCTCATTTTATTTCAATACATCTTTTCCACCCAAGCCTCCAGACAGTTAAAGCCCCAGGCCAAAAGCTACAACACACACTTCTTCAAACCAAGAAAGGGCAAGGATTTGCAGTCCTGAGGGTGGGAGTCAATGGCCCTGAAGCCTTTGTTCACATTTTGTCTGCTCCTGGCAGGCACCCCAGGGTCTACAACAGTCTCCCTCTCTCTTATCAGAGAACCTACACTTGTCCCTTAGGTGTTTATTGTGATTTTTTGTAATCCCTTCCATAAAAAAATAATTGGGAAAGATTGGATTGGAAACTTTCACGAATGATTTTAATTCTCCAATGTATGGGTTCTCCATGTCTCTACTGTGGACCAGAACTATTCCTCATGAAAATGGGAATCAAAGAGCATATTTGAATGTATAGACTTCAACTTAAAAGCACCTCTAACAATATAAAGAAAAAATAATTTCATTCTTTAAAACTAAATTCCTGGGAAGTGGCACTGTGGCTCAAGGGGTAGAGCGCTCGCCTTGAGCTGAAGAGCTGAGGGACAAGTGCTCAGGCCCAGAGTTCTAGCCCCACGACCAAAAAAAAAAAAAAATCCTCCCTGAAACTAAATTCCTGAGACACAAAGAGATAAGGATGAGGTAAAAACTGTGGTGCTCCCAAAAGTACCTGTGTAATGCAGTTTTCTTTTCTTTTTCTTTTTTTGGGGGGTTGGGATTTCAGTTGTGGAGCCTGAACTCTGGACCTGGGCTCTGTCCCTCAGCTCTTCAGCTCAAGGCTGGCGCTCCACTACTTGAGCCACAGCGCCTCTTGCGGCTTTTTTATTTTTGTTTATGTGGTGCTGAGGAATCAAACCCAGGACCTCATGCATGCAAGGCAAGCACTCTACCACTGAGCCACCTTCCAAGCCCTCCTTTTTTTTTTTTTTGTTAGTCATGGGACCAGAAGTCTGGGCCTAGGTACTGTTCCTCGGCTCTTCAGTTCAAGGCTAGCGCTCTACCACTGGAGCCACAGTGAGACTTCTGGCTTTTTCTGCTTATGTGGTGCTGAGGAATCGAACTCAGGGCCTCATGCATGCCAGGTAAGCAGTCTACCACTGAACCACCTTCATATCCCTGAAATATAGTTTTCATTGTTCAAGCCTTGTAATGTATTTCTTTATTCTTTTATCCTTTTGGGTTTTTTTTGTTTTGGTTTGGTTTTTGGTCATGCCACTTGAACTGTGAGCCTAGGAACCATCCCTTAACCCTTCAGCTCAAGTCAACTGCTCTACATTGTGAGCTAAAGCACCAGTTCTGGTTTTCTGGTTTTTATTGGATATAAGAGTCTCAGAAACATTGCTGCCCCGGCTGACTTTGGACTGCGATACTCAGGTTTCAGCCTTTTGAATAGCTAAGATTAAAGACATGAGGTACCAACACCCAGCTTGCATTTCTTTTCTTTTAAGTCCCAGCCCTGGGGCTTGAACTCAGTGCATGGACACTTTCCCTAAAGTTTTGCTCAAAACTACCACCCTACTCCTGTAGCCACAATTACACATTTGGCTTTTTCTATGTGTGTGTACTGAGGACTTGAACCTGGGCTTCATACATGTTAGGTAAGCACTCTACCACTGTTGCGGGACAGCCACAATACCAACAGTGCTCTGGAAGGG